GGAAATTGGGATGAAACATTTTAGTACATATTTGACTAATAACATCTATTTAAAAGTATTAAAAAAAAATTGATTGAAATATGAATTGATATCTTTATAAACAACATAATTAGATCTGTCTTTTTATTTATCAATTTGTCTACAACCTGAATGAATTATCTTTATCTCGTAAACTCGATTTTATAAAAGTTTGAACTTATCAATAAAATATTTCTATAAATATTGTTTGCAATAAAGAAGCACATTATGTGTTGTAAATTACTTCTTGCAAAATTCATCCGTTTCAAAATTTCGAAGTCAAATTTCTTTACTTAAACAATACCATATGCATATTTTCTTTTTTATAGTACAATGTTATTCGTTAAAACGAATTCACTAAATTGTATTTTCAACAACCGAATTTATTGTTATAAATTGTTAATAGAAATGATATAAATGATATAATTTATGAGTTTCAAATATTTCTCATTCGTATTTTCCTCCATTCTGATTGCCGGTGAATTTGTAGGTTAACCACTCTTTCATTAATTTCGACGATCTTTAAATATCATGTAGAAATCGATACCCTGAACAACCTTTTCTTCTAACGAATGAAGTCTAACATATGCGTTACAGGAAAAAAATATCTTAACAATACATTCAAAAATCACCGAAATCGGAAAAGGAGTAGTCAGTTTACACTTTCACCCAACTGTTTTCGCTATTGCGCATAACGACAAAAGAAAAGCGAGTTAAAGGGGCACAGGCAAGTTTTGGTTTTCCTGATGAAAGTGTAATTGCCAAGACCTAAAAGTCTCACATGGTTGCCACATTTCTGTTACTGTTCTATCCGTCGATCTATGAAATGGTTAAATTAATGAAACAGGCGAGTTAAAGGATTTTTCGTATGTTTCCGAATCCGACTCAATCAAAATTATTCGATTCGATCCAAAGTATCGACTACCCACGAATTATTCGAATCATTTGGGCAAATTTATATTTCAATAATAAGTATACGATACTTAAATAATATACGATAATTAAATGTGTAATTTTTATTTAAATAAAATTTAAATAGAATTAAATAAAATCATTTAAATGATGTCAAACATAACTTAATCCATATTTTTGATTTTCAAGAAAATGCTTATTTCATATTTGAATTAAGTAAAACAAAAATAATTTTTTTTAATTTTCATATCCCTTATATTGAATATGAAAAAACTAAATGACAAATTTGTAAAAATATTTCTTTAATCGATTAGCGAGATATATAGGAATATATTTTGTATGTATGTCTATATTTTTCATTAAATCTTCATGAAATATTAAAGATTTATATTAAACAAATAACAAGTAAATAATTAAATAAATAATCGTTATTATCATAATGTTGATAAAAGGTAGTTTATAGAAAAATTTTGAATAATATTTCAATTAATAAATGTAATTTTTAACTAATGAATTATGGAATTTATGTTATTTATGTTATTATGTCACAACCAATGCACTGTACAATTATAATAAAATTATTAAAAATTTAAATTTGAATATGTAATATAAGGAATATATAAATATATGTAATATAAGGAATATATAAATGAGGAAATATAATAATTTTAATATTTTAATATTAACAATAATTTAAA